CTAGACTTCTCTAAATCCATAGGAAGAAGTTTTTCTTTCACACCTTCTACAATTTCCTTCACAATCAAGCAATCTGAGGAGTCAAATGGGGTGCAGATGAATGCATGATTTTATGGTCAGTACTATTAGCCTACTATCTAGGAGTGAGTGAGTGAGTGAGTGAGAGGCTTTCTATGGACTGTGGAGAGAAGGGCAGGGTGCTAGGTAAAGTGTATTAAATGCATCTGTCTGTGTGTTTGATGACCCCACTACTGCTCTGCTAAGCAAAGAGTGATGCCTGAGAAGCAAATACATGAATCAGGTGCGAGTTAAGGGCACTGTGATGGTGCTGAGGTGAGCTTTATGTCTTGTGGAGGGCTTGAAGAGCATGACATCAGCAGTCAATAAGTTCATAAATGGGGTTTCTTCTTCATGCAGGATTCAGTTCAACTTTTAAACTTCCCAATATCATTCTGAACCTTCTCACTCTCCTCCTCAAATACTTCATTATCATTCAATTACTATCGGACTGCTCTTAAGGGCACTGAAGGAAAAGGTCTCCATTGGGGGGGTGCATATGCCATTTCCACTAATATTCATATAACCACACAACACCTAGAGCAGTAAATAAGTCACTCAGTGCTAAGACTTTGAAGACTGAATGGTTAAAACTGGAAAACATTACTAATGCCCATGCTCTGTGCATATTTGAATTAACAGAGAGGATCTGTGGCCCATATCCTGGTTCTACCAGAGACTTTCACTTTCACCTTGGATAGATCAGGTAAGCTGGCATTTTACAGCAAGTTCTGCATCCCCCTGAAGGACTTTGAATGTTGAGCTGTCAACTCTCATGAGAAGATTTGCCTATGAAAGGCCCAGACGGAAGGCTTGCAGTGGCCTGGTCTAAGCATTCAGAGTGGCCTCACTGCAGCATGAAAGCAGCATGTGTCAAAGTAACTTAAAGTACCCCATCTATGAACTGGGAAGCCACTCACACAAGGTATTGCATCCCAAATGATTCTGTTGCTCTGGTGCCCATTACCAGCATTTTTTCTTGCATATGAATCCGGCATTGTACAGTTCAGATGTAATTTTGCACAGCATTTCAGAGAAGGAAACGAAAGTCATGCTGACTAGATGGATAATTTGTTGTAAGTATATAAAATATATGTCTATTTCCTCATGCTCCATTTTAAGCTAATAAGAAAAAAAGCTCCCATCTGCCTTTATACTCCAGAGTCCAATTGTCCAATACACCAGGCCCTATCCTGGCACTAACTGGTAGGTGTTTTCGAAATGGGACCTATTCGATTCAGATTTGCATTTGGCCTGAATCAGGGACAGTGATTTGATTTGTTGATTCGGATCACTGTCCCCGATTCAATTCAGCCGAATCTGAATCTGCAGATCTGATGCTGATTTGCAGAATCAGCAATTCAGGCATAGACACAGCTTTAAATGTTTTTTCTACGTACCTCTAGGTGCTCGTGAATGCTGTGATGCTGGGGCGGATGAAGCATCCCACAGGAGTGGGTGTGGAGCGCTCTGGCCCACTTCCAGGTCCACCAGGGAGCATGCAGGGGGCCCCAGGCCTTCCCAGCTTGGCAATCAGCCACGGGAAGACCCTGGGTGCCCCCCCCAGACCCAGGAGGCACCAGTTGCCAAGCCGGAGGGAGAGGTATGGGGGCCCCCAGTGCACTCCCTGGCAGACCCAGAAGTGGACTGGAAGTGCTTCAGATCCACTTCCGGGTCTGCTACCAAGTGCGCCGGGGAGTCCCCCGTGCTTCTGGGGGACACTCCATGCGCCCCAGCATTGCAGCACTCACAAACCCCTGCTGCCTAGAGGTATGTAGAAAAAACATTTAAAGCTGTGTCTATGTCCGAATCGCTGAATCTTTCTGAATCTCTCCAAACCAATTTGGAAGGTTCCGATTCGGTTCAGAGAGATTAAAGGGTCTCCTGATTTGATTCGGATTTGGCCGCCGAATCAGGCCGAATCTCTGCCAGATTGAATCAGCGACTGAAGCTTCACGTAGCCCTACTAACTGGCTATTTGTGTAGTGATGTCAATTTTCTCTGTGAAGGAAATTCAGCAATTTAGAGAGAAGCTTCCCCAGACCTGCCAACAAAGTTATACTAAGAATAGAGAGAAGGGGTCCTAGACAAAATGGAAACAGTGTTGCAGCTTTTTTATTCACTATTCTCATTCCCCACCACTTCAAATGCTTTATTTTTATACATGTGTCATTAAAGCTATCTTCTTAATATCATTTCCTTGTAGTTCCTTTGTGAGAATAAGGAGTCTTGATGGGATTATTGGAGGGTGAAATCATGGCCGTTGAAGGCAATGTGAATTTTTCCATTGATTTCAATGAGGTTACAATTTCTTCCATGGGATGTAAAGGGCACTAAAGCAAATAGCTGCATCACAGTCAATAGAGCTGTTACAATTTGCACCTGATGAAGGTCTGAGTGGCTGCACACTTCTGCTGCAGGTTTGTTTTCTTCTGGATCTGATCTTTGACCCTGATCCTGTCCCATTGGAAAGTTCATTCAACAGAGCTAATCAGCCCACACTGTACCGCACTGAGGCGCCCACACTACTTCCCATTCAGGGGGCAGGCCATGTGGAGCTGTGCCATGTGTTTGAGGGCGCCACAGTTGGGCAGAGTAAGTTTGTGGTTTCGATGTGGAATGGGACTTTATGGCCATATCCTTCTGGGAGCCCATGACCAAAACTCTGGAAATCCAATGCCAAATGTAGTTTTTCACTTCAAAGGCCTTTGAAAAACCGAAAGGAAGCTTTTGCGAAGACAAGAGCCTTTTCATAGATGCCAGTTTCAAGCCACAATGGGGTTACTTAAACATTTTGGCTTGGGCTTTCACCTTTTATATTTAATGGTACTTTAACAAGTGCATTCCGAGAGGATGAAGTGTGCCTTCCTCTTCTCCAGTCCTGGTCTCTTTAATGGGTTTCAGCTAGGCCTGATTTACTGTCTTTCTCTCTCTGATATCCCTTTCAATGTCTTTCATGTAGTGTCTGTTGGAGGATCACTCTCCAGGGCTGACACCTCGTAGAAGGAAAAGTATGAGTGTTAGTGAAACAGCCCACTCAAAACTGACTGATTCTTTCTCTGTTATAAACCATAAAGGAGGCAGCTCAATCCATGGGAAAGTGCTGATGAGCTGAATAAGGCAGAATCAAATATCAGAAGAGTGGGTACTGCTTTTGCAGAGTATCGCCGGATGATATCACCTTCCCCCTCCAACTTGAAACAAAGAGCTTGGACAGGCCTTTAGCTTTTAGGGAGTATCCAGTAGTTTCATTGTCTGGCAAGCAACTCAGAACCTGTGTAGTGACGCTAAGCTCACAGCCCCTCTACTCCCAACCCCCACCTCCCCTTGCATTCCTCTGCCCTGAGTTAAAGCAATGTGGTACATTAAAAAACTTGGCTCTTCCAAACGCGTCTTAGAGCTGTGATCAGTGAGCTGTGAAAAACCACCTGGATCATGGAGTCTGATGAGTGTCCTGTACTGCCTATACTGAGAGCACGAGGTTTTGAGAACCAGTGCTGGACTCACAGGTGGTCTCTGATCAGGTGGGCGTTAGTCTCTAAGCAGACTGAAAAGCAGTCTTGGTAAAATGTCATTTTCTTCCAACTCCCTCTCATTAGCAGAGCTGTTTTCATGATAGCAGAACTGAAGCACAGCAACGTTCTGGGGCACAGCAATGTTTCTCCTTGCTTTGGCCAGGAGGAGTCACTAAAGACCAACTTGAGGCACTTTCCATTCCCCATCAGGAGTTTTGCATGGCCTAAATCTCTGATGGCCAAGAGGTAATGAATGGTGATTGGGGCCTATGAATGGCGACTGGGGCCTGCCACATTTATTGCGTCTGTATGTTTGCAGCCATATGTTTCTTCCAACTGTCTATATAAACTCATAGGAAAGGCAGAGCTACTGCCCAGAACGCTGAGGCACAACACTGAAATTCTACTGGACTAGTTTAGATGAAGTCAGTAAACACTGTACAAACAACCTTTCTCATAATATTTTGCCATTTCCTCCTCCAGTCACATCCTGAACTTGAAAGCTGAATATGTATACATAATTGTGTGCATCAGGAGCGGAAAAAAAAACTCTTCTTGACTCTTCAGGTGACCAGAAGAGCCCTGACTCATGAGATGTAATTAAAATAAAATAATTGTCTTAATCCAGAACTGCATATGTTATGAGTATTTGGAGAGGAATTCAGACATCCCTGCCCTCAGCAAGGCTCATGAAAGGGGGAGATATAAAGAGCAATTAAAAGTCATCAATTCCAAGGTGAAAAGAGACCAACAATACCAACCAGCATGATCCCACACACACACACACACACACACACACACACACACACACACACACAGAGAGAGAGGCCACTGATTTTCTCCCAGAAGTTAGACTAAAGCTTATTTCTAGAAAGGTGTTCAATCCTATTATGCAGATTCTGCGGGTTTATTCTATCTCCCCTATGCATCTAAATGGCAATATTCTAGTTGCGTACGTAGCATTTTTATCACTTATGCAGAATTAGCATTTCTACTTCCCTTGCAATGTGGTTGCTAAAGTATGCGTGTATATGCTAAGCATGTGTAGTAGGTATACATTGGCCAGGTATGTGCATGGCTACGTAAGCATGTACCTAAGCACAAATCACAGAAGAAAGCAGAGGTGCCTCTTATGCTTTAGCCACAGTGGCAGAATGGTTGGAGACCTGGGTTCTAGGTGCCCCTAGAAGCACGGCTGGAAAGCATCTCTCTCAGGAGGTCATCCAATCCGTTGATTCTCAACTAGGGTGCAACCACACCCTGGGGCACCGTGAGATCTTTCTTAAGAGTGCTGTATAATATTAGTACTGTTAGGTATGCAAACACTGACATATGTTTCACAAGGTAAACCCAGAGATTTCAAATAGGAATCCATGGCGTCAAAAACATTCTGACCTGTTGCGGTCTTTCTGACTTCTTTGCAAAAGAAGAATTGCTGTATTATTTTTTCATAGTCAAAAACAAGGGAAAGATAAGAGCCTGCATTTTCCAAGGGTTGCCTTCAGTCTAATGAGGAGTGTCTGGAATCTAAAAAGGTTGAAAACTACTGATCTAGTCCAACCCCTCATTGTCTAGGGTGGTTTAGATGGGGAATCATCACATCTAAACCACCCTAGACAAAGGTTTGTCTATTTACTACCGATGCACAAGGTTTCTCAGCAAGATTCAGATCACCATCTAAATATCTGATGAAAATATTAAACTGCACTGGAACAAAAACCACGCCTAGATGGATACTGAAAATTATGTCCCCATGTGCTGATGTTCCCTGTTAACAATTACATTTCAATATCTGACACTGAGCCAGATTTTAATCCCTATAGTATGTGCCCTGTAAGTTCTATAGTATGATTAAAAAAATAAAAATGTCATATCATGCCTTGGAGAAATCAAAATACACAATTGCCTTTATCTACCAGGCCTGTAATCCTGACAAGAAAAAAAAAAGACAACAGATTTGTTTGACAAGATCTGCCTTTCAAGAAACCATTAAGATTGGCATTAATAATATTTTTCATCTCTTTCTCTGTAGACAGGGTGGGAAGTTAACCCTTCCCTTGCTAATTAGTTTGTCATTCCACAGGTCACCCATTGCCAGTCTTCCAATCCACTGGAATTTGCCCAGTTGTCTAGCCCTTCCTTCCCACCTCTTCTCCAGCTAGAAATCTCATCAGAGTAGGGTATTTCACCATCTCTGCTCACTGCTGTTAGCAGAACTGTGGTACCAAAATAACAAGAAGAAAATCAAAAGGAAGGGCAGCTTTGTGATTAAAGCACTAAGCTGAGCCTCTGGAAGTCTAGGCTCCTAGCTCCATCACTGTCCCACCCTATGACCTCAAGTAAATTGCTTAATTTCTCTTTGCCTCAATTTCTTGCCCACAAAATGGAGATAAAACCACTTTCTTTGTTTAACTGGTAAGCTGTTTGGGGCAGAGGCTATTTCCCCAATGTGTACAGTAGTATTTGTACAGCAGTATAACACAATGGGGTCCTGGTCTCAGCTGGAACCTGAAGGTGTTTCAAGAATAGAAAAAAATAATAGTGCAACTTTTCCCAACTGCAGAGCTTTAGCATAGGTTGGATTTAACCTGAGGAGCTGGATATTTGGATGTTTTGTGCTGACTTTGTTCTGCCTTCCTCCTCATACCACTTTCTCTTTTTAGGTGGAAAGAACTCACGCTGCTATCCAGTAGTGTAACTAAGGCAGCATAACTGGGGCAGCAGATCTGGATGCCAATTTAGGCAGGGCATAGAAATAATAACAGCTGCCCCCCACCGTCTCGCATCCACGCTGGTGGTATCAGCAGCTGGAAATCACTGCTGCCCATGCGTTGCCCAGACCTCCAGCTGCTCTGGTACACTGCTGCTATCTATCCAGGTCTCTTGGACATGGATTGGCATTGTGCTTCTTATTCAAGGATAGATGTTTGCCTTTGGGAAGCACACACTAACTTATACAAATAGCAGACAAGCCCTTTAGAGCTTTCAGACTGTAAAACTTAGCAAGCACAGTAACGTAGTGTTTTCCGGATGAATCGTAAACAGCAAGGTAACCATTTACACAGCTTGGTTGCGGGGTTTTGAGGTTCCTCTCCCCTCTGTAGGGAACAGAAGCCAAGGTCTTAGTGGGGAATCAGATACTTTATCATGGCATGGCTATCTTGTTAAGATTTAGTAGAAACCTTTTGATGGCCCAGGAAACCTATTCCCAGCAGTTGTCTAATATAACAGAATAACAAGACAGCCTTTCAGAGCAAATTATACTATCCAAATCCCTTTATACTGACTTGTGGCCAAGTAGGAATACAGGCAGACACAGCAGCTTTAACAGAGCATCCAAAACTTTTGACCAGAATCAGGTCTGCAGTAATTCCACGTCTCTGCCGTGAAATTGATGAACTGAGAGGGATGTCTCGAAGAGAAAGAGGAAAAACAGCAGCATTCCTTAGCTGTTTGTTTGTGATTTATGCCATATCCTACCTTGCCTTCACTCTGCAGAGCCTTTCAGGAGCAAAACGCTACAGATACAAAAGCAGTCTTACAGCACAATGTCTGCTCATCTCTGCTTGAATGGCACCCTGCTGTGCTGTTCTGTAGAGTCCTAATATGATAGCAAAGGTGTATCTTGACAAATTTGGCCCCATATGATTGAGACGTCCTTGTGTTAAGGCAGTGAGAGCATAACTATTGGCTTTGATAATGTCAGTGTGGTCTTGTTTTTCACACAGCATTGACGAAAGTCCCAAAGTCATGTTCCGGCGTGGCCTATGTGCAATACAAAATATGGAATGGATTCTCGGGGGAAAATACAAAATCTTGAGTGCAACTTCATTGTCAAATCATTGTGGAGCTTGGCACTTGGATAGAGAGCTGGAGAGATGGAAAACCTGAGGAGGGCTGGGTGAAATACTTTTGATGCATGGGAAATCACAAATTTAAGTCAAATTTGGCAAAAAGTTTTGGGCAACAGAAATGGAGAAAACAGAAATGAACAAAAAATTTAAAAAACATTGCAACATTTTATTTCAGCATTTTCAAATGAAATATTGCATTTCAGAAATGTCAAGGGGTTTCATTTCATTCTAAAAACCAGACTTCTTGAATTTTTATTTCCAAATGCAGGTTAGTTAAACAAGAGGCTTAAATAACCCTACCCCACCCCACCCCACCCACACACACACAACCCCTCCTCAGCTCCAAAAAATAGCTACAGGTCAAATTAAAAATATTTGGGATTTATCCCAAAAAAATATATTTTTTAATTTAGTTATAAAACCTGAAAAATGTGTCAGTTAAGCAGAACTATTTTTTCTGCAATTTTTTTGGTTTATCCACCAACCTGAAAACTCCATTGTCCACCCAGCTCTACTACTGAAAACATTGGAGTGAGCATCATCTTCTGTTGGGGGGATACACCAATTCAGGCTGGCCAGTCTTTGAGAAGATTCAGGGCACCACATCACAGTTTGGCTTGCTCACTGATGGCCACAAGCAAACAGCTCCCTGGTGAATGAATAAGTTTGTATCTTTACAAAAAGAAGTCAGGACTGGATTCAAAGACTCTGACTCATGATGAACGTTCACCTTCCCTTGGTAAGCTGGTCCAATGGCTAATTATCACAACTCAAAAATAGGTCTGATTTCCAGTTGATTTCTTTTTAGCTTTAACTTCCATCTGCTGGATCTTATTTCACCTTTGTGAAATGACAGAAATGGTTTCCCAGTAGTGGGACTTCTATATCATGATCAAATTGCCTCTGACCCTTCATCAATAAGTCATATAAGTTTTGTTCTTTATGTCTGTTATCATAAGCCTTTTTTTGTTTCCCAAACCTTGACTGGCCTCATTACAGTTGAGGTATCCCTTAGATGAGATGAAACGTGCACACAGATGACATCATACCGTTTGCAGGGTCATAAACTTCATGCTTTGCCAGCCAATATGGCACAATACAATGGCACTAGCAGTAAAAGCCTACTTGTCAGAAATGTGACGTGTCAGAAGAAAGGGAAGCACATGCTCCAAAGTGCCTCAAAGGCTTTCATGAGCAGCCAACTGTGTATATTTCCTGACGCCAGCTATCCATCGACCCAGGAATATTTGGCTCCTGCCCCTGATCTAAAAACTTGGGAGTTCCCAACCTTGTTTCTGTGTAATGTCCATGAGAGTCATGCATGCTGATCAGGATCATTTTGCTCATAATGGCAGGAGTCCACATGGCAGAAGACACTTTACTAAACAAATGGCTCATTTCTGTTGTGCTTACCTGGGAAGGATCCAAAGATCCAGCAAAACTCTTTCTGGGTACCATTGACAGCCAAAGTCTCACAGTCAAGACATGCTAAAGTGAACGTCCAAGGAATGCCATTCCCCTCCTTTTAGCTGATCCCTTCCTTATCCAAAGAAAATACATCAAAAACAATGCACTTAAAAATGACAAGCCCTGAAAAATGCAGTCAGCTAATGGAGACTGGGTAATCCACGACTGTTCAAAAGGCAGCCTACAGCAGCCTGCCTGTCACAATACTTGCTCACAATTTTTCCCCGAGTAAAATAGTACTCGCTTCACTGAAGCCAGCATGCTGTTGTTCCCACTAAAGCAGTGCCATAGCAGAGCAAAAAGGGCTGCTTCTTCACCTTGCACTCGACTGGTCTCAACAGAGACATATTTATCTTGCAGCTCATATGGTAGCTCTGTGTCAAGAGCATCCTGGTGTCTCCTGGGCCTCCACCCTGGTGGTCTTGGAGATAAGTCTTTGCTCTCACCACATCTATAGATATGGGTGCCAAGAAAGTAGGTAAACAAGGAGACTAAAATCGGGAGAGTGATATTTTTATGAGTTAACTGAGGGCTTGGCTTAGCAAGGGACTAATGACACTGCAGCCAGAGATAATACAGGCAGACACTGCGGATACTTCCACAGTTCTGCCAAGGCAACTCAGCAATGACTTGCTATGCCAGCCCCCATCTCCCATGCAGTTTTAACAGGAGCTGGTCTTCAGCGTTCCTTTGTGCTCCGCTCCAGGGCTCTCACAGTAAGCCAACCCCAGTTGTTAAACTTTGGAGACATGGATGAAAACATGTACAATTGCAAAAATTGCCTAGTGTGGTTGGCATGAGATTAAGCAAGAAAACATCTCTGGACTCAGGACCTTGAACCATGTTCATTTGTTTATGGTTGCATAATGATAGAGTCATGCTAGCACCTTTCATTGTCTGGGCCCATTTATTCCTTCAGATTAACATAGTAGCCCTCCCCGCAAAAGCATTTTCAATTATGACCAGAGTCCAAAATGCAAATTCCTTGAGGGGACAGATTTCTTCTCAGTCATCAAATCTCTAATGCCAGAGTATATTAAAATAGTTGGCAGTGTTATCAATCCTAAGCATTTAAAAAAATCAGAAGATTGCTTTAAAATATGTAATGAGATTTTTTTTTATAACAGTACTTTTGCAGTTCTTTTTATTTGCCTTCTGGTTTGTGAATCTTTTAAGGTTCACTTTTTTCCTGCAATGATAAATGCGAGAAGCCTGGCATACTACCTATTA